TTTTTTAACATTGCTTGATTGTTAGGATTCAATTCTGTGGGAATTGGGCGGACTCTATACATTCTGTCATTGTGAAGTACATACATTAAGTAATCTTGTGGCTTCAATTAATAGAGGTATTTTACCCTGGGCTGGATACTTTCCAGGCTTTAATAGAGTAATTGTTATTGTTGTTGCTTTGTTACACCATTAAATAGACTACTGTATTAGGCCATAGGATGTTTGGAAATTGTTTATTTTTTATTAACTATGAGTTCTTATTTAACTCAATCAAATTGGAAAATGCCATGAGGCGGCTGTCAGTTTGTTAACAACTGCACACTACTAGGCTACTCAGTCTCTACTTAACAGTTAAACCTGTAGCTCATGAGGCGAAGTTGAATGGGCTATTGACCCGTGGCCCTTGAGGGCGAAGTGTCTAATTGTTTTAGCATCACCCAGCTAGTCAACAGAAAAGGCAATAATAAAGTTAGCAAATGCAAGTTGAAGAAATATTTATTTGGGAATAAAACGAAGGAAGCGTCATGCATGATTGTGCCAATTTCACTACTCGAGGACTATTACTACTGTAATAGGGTAGCCAATTAAAATGCAGGATTTGCATTAGTCCACTAGTTGGGTGATACTAAAACAGTATAGATAGTGTGTAGCAATTATTAGGCAATAATAATTGTTAAGAGCTACAGTAGAGCAACATTAGACAGTCATAATAATAATAAAGTTGTTGTTGTTGTTGTTGTGGTAGATTTATTAATACTGTTTAGTTACATGTATGTTTAGTCTGACCTGCAAAATAGAACAAATTAAAATTTTAATTAAGCGGGCTCCACTTTAGTTTAATAGCTTCTAATACCTGTAGTTATTTTGAGTGTTCTGGCACTGCTGAATTTCTGTTTAATATTACAATTTGTGAATTAATTAAGATAGAATTTAGTGGACAGTTACTGAATGAGTTTCACACAAGTAACTGTCAACTAGTTTCTTTCTTAATACATGAATTTCACTCTCCATGTACATGTATTAATTTGTACTGAGCACTCCTATGATTGTGTAAAACCACTTCTATTTTTCTTTGTTTTGTTTTTTCTTTGTTTATTGTGAGTTAATTGTAGTACATGTATAGAGGTATACACTCAGAAATTCTTGTTTCTGTTGTGTGCATTTGATTAACTCTTCTATATTAATTCCCCAATTATTCTAGATGATTGGAAAAACAGAGATATAGAACAGCGATTGCTTAGATTGGAGAAACACATTTTTGGGAAAGGTAACTGAGTGTTTTTTTTTATATTTCGGAACATGTATGTGCCTGTGCATGTACATGTAGTTACCTACGTACACACAAACATGTGCATGATTGATCTGTAAATTATGTGCAATATATATTAGGAAAAATCTGCGAGGAAACTCCCATTTGAAAATCAGGCCTTCTGATATAAAACATGATGGTGCAATTTTGCACCATTGACCTCAAATTGCATCTGATAGCACAATTCATGAAAAATTGCTTAATTCACACAAAAAAACCCCAGACCACTTAAACAAAATAAACCATTAGTTAATGCTTTATCTGGAAAAATGCTGCATCTGCACATTCGTTTCAAGATCATTTGCCTTTGAAAAAGCCTTGAAAACTGCCTATGAACTTCAAGTTTGTAAGCAATCAAAGTGCTTTTCGTTTCCCTGTTGTTCAGTACATTGGAATATGTAGGCTTTATTATTAATTTTGTTAACTGTTGAAATTTCCGCATAATCCAGTGTGTTTTCATTTTATTATATGTAATCAGAAAAAAAGGATAACTGTTACGATAAAAATCAAACTGGTGTAAACAGTATGGTGGCCCACTGGTGCCACCGCTGCACACTGTAAAACAAACACGTTCCTGATTAAAACCTTGCTTTCTCTGTGCA